TATACACGTGTGCATCTCTCCGTGCGTGAATTCCACCCACGAACGTTGGATCTGCATTCCCATCCATTGGGGGGGGAGAGAGAAAAAACCTCGGCCAGCGATGCAGGAAGAGTGGACCGATTGATCCGTTTTTTTCTGCTGGCCTTTTCCCCATCGGCACCCCTTCGTGCAGAAAGCTTGGTTCTTTGATTTGAGGGGGGGGGGAAGAGAGGATGGGAAATAAAAAAAATATCTTTATTAAGGGGATTGGATCGGTGGCAGGAAAGATCAAGTTTCCTTGGCAACCTTGCAAACGGATCCTTTCCACCGACGTGGTGATGTTGTCGTACCTGTTGGGTCTGATGGGCATCAGCAAGCCGGTGACGTTCGGCCTTGAGGCGGGGAGGCTGACGTGGTGTGTGTGTGTGTGTGTGCCACAGACGAGACACACACACACACACACACACACACACACACACACGGGGAGCTTTGCAGGTTTGACTTGCAGAGTTCAGCCGTCCTGTGTTGTGTAGTTGACACAGGGAGGGAGGGTGAAACGAGATGTATAACAGGTTAGGGGGCGGAGGAGGAGATGCTCCTTGTTATTTATTTATCTGTATCGCAACTCAAGGCGGTGGACGCATTGAGTGCATGTTTCCCCTCCTGTTTTTCCCACAACGACAACCCTGTGAGGTTGGTTGGATGGGGAGGGGAGAGAACTGGCCCAAAAAAGTCATATCTAAGCTGGGACTAGAACTCACCGTCTCCTGGTGATTGGCTGAAAGTCACCCAGCTGGCTTTCATGCCTAAGGCGGGACTAGAACTCATCATCTCCTGGTGATTGGCCCAAAGACACCCAGTGACCTTTCATGCCAAGGCGGGACTAGAACTCACCGTCTCCTGGTGATTGGCCCAAAGTCACCCAGCCGGCTTTTGTAAACTAAGGCGGGACTAGAACTCACCATCTCCTGGTGATTTGCCCAAAGTCACCCAGTGAGCTTTCATGCCAAGGCGGGACTAGAACTCTCCGTCTCCTGGTGATTGGCCCAAAGTCACCCAGCCGGCTTTCATGCCTAAGGCGGGACTAGAACTCACAGTCTCCTGGTGATTGGCCCAAAGTCACCTAGCTGGCTTTCGTGCCTAAGGCGGGACTAGAACTCACAGTCTCCTGGTGATTGGACCATAGTCACCCAGCTGGCTTTCATGCCTAAGGTAGGACCAGAACTCACCATCTCCTGGTTTCTAGGCCAGCACCTTAACTGCTACACCAAATTGGCACCAAAGCCTATCGCGCCCAGTTATTACCAAGCGGTCTCCCCTCCAAGGACTAACCAAGCCTAAGCCTGCTTAGCTTCCAAGAGGAAACAAAATTGGATGTTTTAAGGGTAGTATAACCAATTTCGATGCCCCCAAGTTTAGAAATAGAGAGTTACAGTTTTGGGGGCTTTTTCTGCACAAGAAAATTGTGTAGGTTGAAGCATATATATCGGCTGTGCTCACGCTGCGTAGTGCAGTAGATCTGGGAGGGATCCAGAAAGCTCGTTCGAATTCTGTGGAAAGCTGGGGAGACGTTAACCTGGGTTAGATGAACCCAGTCTGTAAGGTTAGTAGTTCATGATGCAAGATAATGGGGTGAACCCAGAACATGGCTTAATTCTGTCACTGCCTGTTGTATGAATGCAGACAAGGGTTAGGGTTAGGGCTATCTTCACTCCTGGCAGCTTGACTGGCCTTTATAATACGGTAGTCCTCAACCTATGACCACCATTGAGCCCAAAATTTTCACCGCTAAGCGAGACAGTTGTTAAGTGAGTTTTGCCCCATTTTATGACCTTTTTTAAGTGAATCACCGCCGTTGTTAAGTTCGTAACACAGCCGTTAAGCGAATCCGGCTTGATTCGGCTCGTTCAGAAGATCGCAAAAGGGGATCCCGGAACCCCGGGACGCTGCAACTGTCATAACTACGAGTCAGTTGCCCTGCGTCTGAACTTTGATCCCATCAGCACGGGGAGGCTGCGATGGTCGTAAATGTGAAACACGGTCATAAGTGCCGTCGCAGCTTCGAACAGTCGCTAAATGAACCGCTGTAAATCGAGGACTATCTGGGTTGATAGAAACGGCACACCCTGGCCAACCAGGATAGCTTCTAGCTTGTTGCACCCCAGAGGGAGTGAAAGATGTGTAAGTATTCATCCTCGGGTTTGCTATAAATATTGCTCGGGTTTTAAGGCACGGCAGTCGCTCCGAATCCTTTCATAAATTTTGCTGTAATAAATTCCAGAGTTTTGGTGTCCTCGGAAGCCCGTTCTTGGGGTTTGTTGCCTAGCCAAAATAGCACAACATCCCAGCTAACAAATCTCAGCTTCGCAAAAACGCAGTTGCTAAATTCACATCGTGTGTCGGATGCAAACCACAATGGCTGCAGCTGCATGACTCATTTAACCCAGTTACTGAATTTGCCCACATTCGTACCGTGTCGCGAAACGCAAATTAACCAGGCCACAAACTCAAAAAGTCCTTGCGTTGCGTCCTTGCGTTGCGTGTTCACAGCCCCAGTGTCTGGATCAGCCAACACACCCGGGGGGGGGGGGGAGTGAAGCTTCCATAACCCACAAACTAATTTTAGCGGCGGTTGACGTGCAAGTAGCTTCCCTTCGCTGAAACCGAGATGCGAAACCTTTGGGGCTGGCCACGGGTTCTAAATGCGCTCGAACCAACGCACAAATAAAATGTTTCCTACAAGGAACGCAAAGTGGATCCTGCAGAATCTAAAGGAATCTTGCTAGCAGCTTTTCCAGTTAGCAAAGGAACGTTTTCACCTGCCTTTGAATAAAGAGGCTAACAAATTCCAGATTTTTGCCAGCACTGACCAGTGTTTCTCACCCTCAACAATTTTAAGATGCGTGGATGTTCCCCAGCCAACATGTAGGGACTTCATACCTGTTCCCCATCCAGCCATCAGTGTCTCTGATTCTTAGAATGGTTCCTATTAATTCAATTCAGAATAAAGCTTGAAGGGACCTTGGAGATCTTCTAGTCCAACTCCCTGCTCAGGCAGGAAACCCTATACCATTTCAGACAAAGGGCTCCAGTGTTGGAGCATTCACAGCTTCTGGAGGCGAGGAGTTCCACTGGTTAATTGTTCTGACTGTCAGGAAGTTTCTCCTTAGTTCCAGGTTGCTTCTCTCCTTGATGAGTTTCCATCCGTTGCTTCTTGTCCTGCCTTCAGGGGCTTTGGAAAAGAGCTTGACTCCCTCTTCTTTGGGGCAGCCCCTGAGAGATTGGAACTGCTATCATGTCTCTCCTCGTCCTTCTCTTCATTAAACTAGACATACCCAGTGCTTTTTTTGGAGAGAAAAAAAAAGGTGCCGGAACTCACACACGTCATTCAACCCGCCATGCCTACCCTACAAGGTTCCATCCAAAAAAGGTGCTGGAGCTCCGTTCTGGGCGTTCTATGAGAAAAAAAACCCTGGACATCTCCAATTCCATCAACCGTTCCTTATATGTTTTAGCCTCCAGCCCTCTAATCATCTTTGTTGCTCTTCTCTGGACTCTTTCTAGAGCCTCAGCATCTTTTTTACATCGTGGTGACCAAAACTGGATGCCGTATTCCAAGTGTGGCCTTACCAAGGCCTTGTAAAGTGGTATTAACCCTTCACCTGATCTTGATTCTCTCCCTCTGTTAATGCAGCCTAGGATTGTGAGACAGCGGTTAAGTAAGTTTTGCCCCCTTTTACAAACCTTCCTTGGCACCGTTGTTAGCTGAATCTCTGCAGTTGTTAAGTGAGTCGCACGGTCGTTAAATGAATCTGGCTTCCCCCACTGACGTTGCTTGTCGGAAGGTCGCAAAAGGGGATCCCGTGATTCCCCAGGGACGCTGCATCCGTCGTAAGTACATGCCAGTTGCCGAGCATCTGAATTTTGATCATGTGACCCACGGGGAGGCTGCAACAGTCGTAAGAGTGAAACACGGTCTTAAGTCACCTTTTTTCAGTGCCGTCGTAACTTTGAATGGTCAGGAAATGGTTGTAAAATAAAATAAAATGAAATTAAAATAATGAAATGAAATGAAATAGATAAAATAAAGTAAAATAATTCTATTCTATGCCATTCTGTTCTGTTCTATTTTCTATTTTCTTTTTCTCTTTCTTATTTTCTATTCTATTCTACTCTATTTTCTATTCTATTTTCTTTTTCTATTTTCTATTCTATTCTATTCTATTTTCTATTCTTTTCTATTTTCTTTTTCTATTTCCTACTAGCTGTACCCGGCCACGCGTTGCTGTGGCTCAGTCTGGTTAAATGCGTGTGTTGCTCTTACGTCCAACCGATGGCGCTGTTTTTTAAAAAAAGCATTTTTTTACCTGTCACAGGTGTGACATCTATATAATAGTAGGTATATAAAAACATGCGCGTATTCGAATGCAACGTTGTGTCAAAATTTCAAAGCAATCGGTGAAGAGATTTAAGATTTAAGATTTTGAACAAACGAACATTTACATTCTTATTTATATAGATTTTCCATTCTATTCTGTTCTGTTCTATTCTGTTTTGTTCTATTCTATTCTATTTTCTATTCTATTTTCATTTTCTATTCTATTCTATTCTATTCCATTCTATTTTCTATTCTATTCTATTTTCTATTTCCTATTTTCTATTCTGTTCTGTTCTATTCTTTTTTGTTCTTTTCTATTCTATTTTCTATTCTGTTCTATTTTCTATTCTATTTTATTTTATTCTATTTTCTCTTCTATTCTACTCTCTATTCTACTATTTTCTTTTCTATTCTATTCTATTCTATTCTATTTTCTATTCTAATCTATTTTATTTTCTATTCTATTCTATTCTATTCTATTCTATTCTATTCTAAACAGCTGGCTGGCCAGGGAATTCTGGGAGTTGAAGTCCGCCCACCTTCAGACTGCCAGGGTTGAGAAACACTGCTCTAGAATCCAGCTCAGCCATTCTGACAGTGCCCAAGTCTCAAAATTACTCTTGTTTTCTCTTTGCAGACCCAGGCCACTGGCATTCCTGGCGGATCTCCGGGGGCCACCCCCACTGTGTCCACTCCGGTCACGGGACACAAGCGCATGGTCATCCCCAACCAGCCTCCTTTGACCGCCACCAAAAAGTCAGCCACCCCCAAGCCCGGCGTCCAGCCAATCCCGGTGACGCCCGTCGGCCCCTTGAAGCCTCAGCCCGTCCCGGCGTCCTACGCTACGGCCGCCACCCCCACCCGCCCCCCGTTCAACGTGCAGGTGAAATCCGCTCATCCTGCCCCCCACTTCCCACCCTCGCCCCCCCAGTATGGCGGCCTGGCCCCCCAGCCTGCTTCTTCAATAGGGCCCTATGCCCCGGCTCAACCTCGGGCCCCCGATTACGGCTACGTGCCCCCGCCGGTGGTGGGTTACGGTTCTGCGCCCCCGCCGAGTCGCCAGCCGGAACCGGCCTATGCTGGGAGCGCCGCCCTCAGAGGCTGGGAGGGAGCCGAGCCTTCCTATGGACCCCCCAGCGCCTGGAAGCCTGAGCCAGCATACCCTCCAGCTGTGGGGCAGTACCCGTCCTCTGGAGCCAGGAAGAGCCACGGCTTTGAGCCAGCGCCAGCCTCTCAGCCGCCCGCTTTGCAACCAAAGGTAAGGACCCAGGAAAGATGTAAAACTGGCATGCTTTGGATTACTTTATCTATCTATCTATCTATCCATCCATCCATCCATCAAATCCATCCATCCATCCATCCATCCATCCATCCATCCATCCATCCATCCATCCATCCATCCATCTATCTATCTATCTATCTATCTATCTATCTATCTATCTATCTATCTATCTATATCTCTCTCTACCCATCTATCATCTATATATCTGTCTGTCCATCCATCCATCCCCTAATCATCTATCAATCGAATCAATCATATCTCTCTCTAGCATTATGTATCATCCATCTAATAATAATAATAATGATGATAAAGTCGGAAGGGACCTTGGAAGTCATCTAGTCCAACCCCCTGCTCAGGCAGGAAACCCTATACCATTTCGGACAAATGACTGTCCAGTTTTTTCTTAAAAACTTCCAGTGTTGGAGCATTCACCGCTTCTGGAGGCAGGTTGTTCCACTGGTTAATTGCTCTAACTGTCAGGAAGTTTCTCCTTAGTTTCAGGTTGCTTCTCTCTTTGATAAAAGTTTCCATCCGTTGCTTCTTGTCCTGCCTTCAGGGGCTTTGGAGAATAGCTTGACTCCCTCTTCTTTGGGGCAGCCCCTGAGATACTGGAAGACTGCTATCATGTCCCCCCTCGTCCTTCTCTTTGTTAAACTAGAGTATAGAGACATACCCAATTCCAGCAACCGTTCCTATCTGTCTAATCTGTCATCTATCTATCCAGCCATCTGTATCAATCAATCAATCCTACCTATCTTTCTATCATCATTTATCTGTAATTTACCTCTGTCTGTCTGTCTGTCTGTCTGTCTGTCTGTCTGTCTGTCTGTCTATCTATCTATCTATCTATGTCTATCTCTGTCTCTCTATCATCTATATCTATCTATGTCTATCTATCTCTATGTTTCTCTCTCTCTCATCTATATCTATCTATCTCTATCTCTTTATTATCTATCTATATTTATCATCTATTTATCTATCTGTCTCCATCTCTCTATCATCTATCTATATCTATCTGCCTGCCTGCCTGCCTGCCTGCCTGCCTGCCTGTCTGTCTATCTATCTATCTATCTATCTATCTATCTATCTATCTATCTATCCATCCATCCATCCAATTTCTCTGTCTCTCTGTGTCTGTCTGTCTGTCTGTCTATCCATCCATCCATCCATCCAATTTCTCTGTCTCTCTTTGTCTGTCTGTCTGTCTGTCTATCTATCTATCTATCTATCTATCTATCTATCTATCTATCTATCTATCTATCTATCTATCTATCTATCTATCTATCTATCTATCTATCTATCTATCATATATTCAACCAGCCATATATCCAGCCATCTATATCAATCAATCTTATTTCTCTATCATTATTTATCATGTGTCTATAATTTCTATCTATATGTTTCATCAATCGTATCTATAATAATAATAATAATAATAATAATAATAAATTTAATTTATATGCCGCCCTTCTCCCAACGGGACTCAGGGCGGCGCACAACATATTTAAAACAAAACATAAATACATTCCCCCCCGATAAAACCGAATTAAATCAAATTTTAAAGTTGTGTCTCTGTCAAATTGTTAAAAGATAAACCCCAAATAAAATCCTCCCT